GACAATACAGTCACTACAGACACTACAGACACTACAGTCACTACAGACACTCCGTCACTACAGACACTACAGTACAGTCACTACAGACACTACAGACACTACAGACATTACAGACACTACAGTCACTACATACACTACAGACACTACAGTCACTACAGTCACTACAGACACTACAGACACTACAGTCACTACAGACACTACAGTCACTACAGTCACTACAGACACTACAGACACTACAGTCACTACAGACACTACAGACACTACAGTCACTACAGACACTCCGTCACTACAGACACTACAGTACAGTCACTACAGACACTACAGACCAGTCACTACAGACACTACAGACACTACAGTACAGTCACTACAGAAACTACAGTACAGTCACTGCAGACACTACAGACACTACAGTCACTACAGACACTACAGTCACTACAGACACTACAGTCACTACAGACACTACAGACACTTCAGTCACTACAGACACTACAGACACTATAGTACAGTCACTACAGACACTACAGACACTACACTACAGACACTACAGTCACTACAGACACTACAGTCACTACAGACACTACAGACACTACAGACACTACAGTCACTACAGACACTACAGTCACTACAGACACTACAGACACTACAGTCACTACAGACACTCCGTCACTACAGACACTACAGTCGCTACAGACACTACAGTCGCTACAGACACTACAGTTGCTACAGACACTACAGTCACTACAGACACTACAGTCACTACAGACACTACAGTAACTACAGACACTACAGTACAGTCACTACAGACACTACAGACACTACACTGCAGTTACAAAAGACACTACAGTCACTACAGACACTACAGACACTCAGTCACTACAGTCACTACAGACACTACACTACAGACACTACAGTCACTACAGACACTACACTACAGTTACTACAGACACTACAGTCACTACAGACACTACAGTCACTACAGACACTACAGTCACTACAGACACTACAGTTACTACAGTCACTACAGACACTACTGACACTACAGACATTGCAGACACTACAGTCACTACATACACTACAGACACTACAGTCACTACAGTCACTACAGACACTACAGACAATACAGTCACTACAGACACTACAGACACTACAGTCACTACAGACACTCCGTCACTACAGACACTACAGTACAGTCACTACAGACACTACAGACACTACAGACATTACAGACACTACAGTCACTACATACACTACAGACACTACAGTCACTACAGTCACTACAGACACTACAGACACTACAGTCACTACAGACACTACAGTCACTACAGTCACTACAGACACTACAGACACTACAGTCACTACAGACACTACAGACACTACAGTCACTACAGACACTCCGTCACTACAGACACTACAGTACAGTCACTACAGACACTACAGACCAGTCACTACAGACACTACAGACACTACAGTACAGTCACTACAGAAACTACAGTACAGTCACTGCAGACACTACAGACACTACAGTCACTACAGACACTACAGTCACTACAGACACTACAGTCACTACAGACACTACAGACACTTCAGTCACTACAGACACTACAGACACTATAGTACAGTCACTACAGACACTACAGACACTACACTACAGACACTACAGTCACTACAGACACTAGTCACTACAGACACTACAGACACTACAGACACTACAGTCACTACAGACACTACAGTCACTACAGACACTACAGACACTACAGTCACTACAGACACTCCGTCACTACAGACACTACAGTCGCTACAGACACTACAGTCGCTACAGACACTACAGTTGCTACAGACACTACAGTCACTACAGACACTACAGTCACTACAGACACTACAGACACTCAGTCACTACAGTCACTACACTACAGTTACTACAGACACTACAGTCACTACAGACACTACACTACAGTTACTACAGACACTACAGTCACTACAGACACTACAGACTCTACAGTCACTACAGACACTACAGTAACTACAGACACTACAGACACTACAGTCACTACAGACACTACAGACACTACAGTACAGACACTACAGACACTACAGTCACTACAGACACTCAGTCATTACTACGACACTACAGTCACTACAGACACTACAGTCACTACAGACACTACAGACACTACAGACACTACAGTCACTACAGACACTACAGTAACTACAGACACTACAGACTCTACAGACACTACAGTCACTACAGACACTACAGACACTACAGTCACTACAGTAACTACAGACACTACAGACACTACAGACACTACAGACTCTACAGTCACTACAGACACTACAGTCACTACAGACACTACAGACACTTCAGTCACTACAGACACTACAGACACTACAGTACAGTCACTACAAACACTACAGACACTACACTACAGTCACTACAGACACTACAGTCACTACAGTCACTACAGACACTCAGTCACTACAGACACTACAGACACTACAGACAGTACTAACACAAACACTACAGACACTACACTACAGTTACTACAGACACTACAGTCACTACAGTCACTACAGACACTCAGTCACTACAGACACTACAGTCACTACAGACACTAAAATACAGAAACTACAGACACTACACTACAGTTACTACAGACACTACAGTCACTACAGTCACTACAGACACTACACTACAGTTACTACAGACACTACAGTCACTACAGACACTACAGTACAGTCACTACAGACACTACAGACACTACAGTACAGTCACTGCAGACACTACAGACACTACAGTCATTACAGACACTACAGACACTACAGACACTACAGTCACTACAAGCACTACAGACACTACAGTCACTACAGTCACTACAGACACTACAGACACTACAGTCACTACAGACACTACAGACACTACAGTCACTACAGACTCTACAGTCACTACAGACACTACAGTCACAACAGACACTACAGACACTCCGTCACTACAGACACTACAGTCACTACAGACACTACAGTCACTGCAGTCACTACAGACACTACAGTCACTACAGACACTACAGTACAGTCACTACAGACACTACAGACACTACAGTACAGTCACTGCAGACACTACAGACACTACAGTCACTACAGACACTACAGACACTACAGTCACTACAGACACTACAGTCACTACAGACACTACAGACACTACAGTACAGTCACTACAGACACTACAGACACTACAGACACTACAGTCACTACAGACACTACAGACACTCAGTCATTAACGACACTACAGTCACTACAGACACTACAGTCACTACAGACAGTACAGTTACTACAGTCACTACAGACACTACAGTCACTACAGACACTACAGACACTTCAGTCACTACAGACACTACAGACACTACAGTACAGTCACTACAAACACTACAGACACTACACTACAGTTACTACAGACACTACAGTCACTACAGTCACTACAGACACTCAGTCACTACAGACACTACAGTCACTACAGACACTAAAATACAGAAACTACAGACACTACACTACAGTTACTACAGACACTACAGTCACTACAGACACTAAAATACAGACACTACAGACACTACACTACAGTTACTACAGACACTACAGTCACTACAGTCACTACAGACACTACACTACAGTTACTACCGACACTACAGTCACTACAGACACTACAGTACAGTCACTACAGACACTACAGTACAGTCACTACAGACACTACAGACACTACAGTACAGTCACTGCAGACACTACAGACACTACAGTCATTACAGACACTACAGACACTACAGTCACTACAGGCACTACAGACACTACAGTCACTACATTCACTACAGACACTACAGTCACTACAGACACTACAGTCACTACAGACACTACAGACACTACAGTCACTACAGACTCTACAGTCACTAAAGACACTACAGTCACAACAGACACTACAGACACTCCGTCACTACAGACACTACAGTCACTACAGACACTACAGACACTACAGTCACTGCAGTCACTACAGACACTACAGTCACTACAGACACTACAGTACAGTCACTACAGACACTACAGACACTACAGTACAGTCACTGCAGACACTACAGACACTACAGTCACTACAGTCACTACAGACACTACAGACTCTACAGTCACTACAGTCACTACAGACACTATACTACAGACACTGCAGACACTACAGTCACTACAGACACTCAGTCACTACAGACACTCAGTCACTACAGACACTACAGTCACTACAGACACTACAGTAACTACAGTCACTACAGACTCTACAGACTCTACAGTCACTACAGACACTACAGACACTATACTACAGACACTGCAGACACTACAGTCACTACAGACACTCAGTCACTACAGACACTCAGTCACTACAGACACTACAGTCACTACAGACACTACAGACACTACAGTCACTACAGTCACTACAGACACTACAGTCACTACAGACACTACAGACACTACAGACACTACAGTCACTACAGACTCTACAGTCACTACAGACACTACAGACACTACAGTCACTACAGACACAACACTACAGACACTACACTACAGTCACTACAGACACTACACTACAGACACTACACTACAGACACTACAGTACAGTCACTACAGGCACTACAGACACAACACTACAGACACTACAGTACAGTCACTAGAGACACTACAGTTACTACAGACACTACAGTCACTACAGTCACTACAGACACTCAGTCTCTACAGACACTACAGTTACTACAGACACTACAGTCACTACAGTCACTACAGGCACTACACTACAGTTACTACAGACACTACAGTCACTACAGACACTACAGTACAGTCACTACGGACACTACAGTACAGTCACTGCAGACACTACAGACACTACAGTCACTACAGACACTACAGACACTACAGAACCTACAGTCACTACAGACA